TCGACAGTGGACGTTGCTTATTGCAAGATAGTGTGAACCGCTTAAATCCATGTGTTAGGTGTGCTATGATTTCGTTTCTGATCTCTCATATTTCTCAGATCTATTTTCGTTTATCGTTTTCTTCTATACCTAACATTTTCTACAACAAAAATTAACTTTGAAAGTCCATACCCAAATCCATGAGATCTTCCCTTACTTTTGGAATTGATAAGAAACCCATGGTAAACCTTTCTTGGCCAAAGGGTTTACATCATAAATAGTGAGATTATAAAAGGCAACAATTTCATTGTTCCATAAATGTGTCTTCCACTTTTAATCTCGACAACCACTTTGTAAGTAAGGCAAAGTTGCACCATTTAAGACTTCCAACCCTTAAGCCACAAAGATTTTTAGGACTTAAGACATCTTGCCAAGCCACCTGATATATTTATTTTTTATTTTCATCCCTTCCCCAAATCATTATTTGGATACTTGCAACATAAATAGTTGAGTATTTATAATTAGTTTAGAATCAAAGGAAATTCTAGAAAACACTTATTAATAGTTAGAAAATTATATTTCTAAAACTAGGGTGTTACATATCAAAAAGGAATTCGTATATACTAACAATACTTATGTTTATGATCATTCTTATAATGATGTTCTTGGAACCGCAAAAAGATGAAGACCTTCGTCAACGTGAAGTGTGAACATGGTTCTATAAGTCACTTTTCTTGATTCATCGGCTAATTTGAACATAAAGAAACGAAGAACAGCAATCGAAATTATCTTCATCTGACGATATGCAAAATCCTTCCCCAAACAGATCCTTGGACCAGCGTGCTAAGTTGGCATGTTAGAGTCCATAACATACATAGTAATCATAAGAAAAGAAACATGTGAACACTTATTCAGCAATTGCCATACTTTCTGGATTTTGCTTGGATTTTATTATACGGGAAATGGAATGAAAATATAATATTTAGTAATTTATATGTTAACCTTGATTAAATACATGGTCCCGGCTTGCAAATAACCGAATTTAATACATAATGTGGTGACTTTGAAAATATACAAATGTCATTTATATTCAAACACTAACATCGAAATCGAAAATAGATAATATAAAAGTATTATAATGTTTTATTTATAAGTTTGTCAAGTTTAAATTACAACTCTATCAAGCTACTAGGTTATAACCCGTGGAATCCACGGTTAAAAGTAAAGTAATATATAATGTATAATGATAATAATCAATAATCATAGATTTGTATAGATTTATTTGTATAAAAAATTTCATATGTTAATTGTAATTGTATCATGGTTATTTTAAATTAATATAATCATGTCGTAAGTTTTTTAAATTAACGCTTAAAAAAATTAATATCATACTTTATGAACTCTGAAGTTCAAATATGCAATAAAACATACATTATAATGGATTTTTAAGAATATACCTTCCATTTTTCTTATCAAGTAAAGTAAATAAGAGATACCAAACTCAGATAACTCAAGTTGTTCATCATCAGTGTCCAAGTAGGAAGCTCTTATGCCTAAAAAATAACTTAAAAACACATAATGTTTGTCCCTTATCAAACATTAAATATGATATAACCTTATATAATTACAACATAAAATTGCTGGAAACAAATAAAATTGATTAACAACATCAAAATAAAATAAAATTGAAACGCAAAAAATTGTTTCAATGACAGATGTTCAACACTAACAATTCAAAAATCAAAAGAAAACAGTAACATATAGATTAAAATGAAGAAATCATTGAATAAAAAAAAACATTGAATATTACATGCTTCAACTACAACTCGAGGAAAGAGAGAAGATCACTTTAGAGGCCACTTAGAAGGTGTGTTAAGTGTCATGTTCCCTAAAAAGATAAAGCGTCCACAAAAATTAACCTGCAAAATAATATCAGACCAACATATTACACAAACAAAAACATTATTAATAAATACTACTACTGATGTAATGTTGTTAAACCAAAAACGACCAGTGAATTGCACAAGGATGTCCATATGCTTTTATGTTTTCACAATAGCAAGCGTAGAAATCTTTTGGAATTGTAATCCCATGAATTTCACAAGGAAATCTTTTGGAATCTTATAACCCTGAAAAAGTAAGAAAATAAAAGATACAATTTTGACCCAGATCAGCCACAAAGGTTAGAAAAAAGGTTTGCTAATACAAAACATAATTGAGGTGGTGCAATTGTGGTTCCTATCTACAAAAAACAAATCAAATTTAAATAAAAAGAATAGGCCTAGATTTCGTACATATTGTGTAAACCATAAGTTTTAACTTATATTCTCTAGGAATTGTAGTCAACATCCATGCATCATCAATTACAAAAGATGAGAAAATTCCCAACTAAAACTTAAAATACACCTAAATAAGTTCCATGGAAAACACAATATAAACATCTCAAAGTAAATCATGTTACCCGTAAGCAAGAACCTATAGCCACTTCACCTCACCTTTCAATTTCCAAACTGCAAACACAAAAATCACATCAAACCGACAAATGGTGAACAACCATCGCAAACCGACAGAGAAACTGAGTAAGGGGCTGATGACCCTAGCTGACCAAAAACGACATTGATGGAGGGGATTAGAAACATGATGAACATGGGAAATCCCTAATTAGAAGAATAAATTAAAACCTCAAAATTAAAACATCCTCACCTTATTCGAATAAGCCCTATTTATAATCATAAGACCGAGCCAATGTATGGCCCGAGACAACAGAATTGGCGGCGGAGTAGAACGACGATACACTGACCAAAGTTTTTGAAAATCTAGATTAGGACTTGAGACAAGGGAAATGGTGGGTTATTGAAGAGAAATAAAAACAGATTAAACTGAAATTTGTGGAGGTGCGATAATAGTAATGAGAAGAAGAAGATTTATTGTTGATTTTAAATAACATTAATTTAAATGGGTTGAATGGGTTGTTTCCTAAATAAATGCAGGACAATTGATATGAATCCCAAAAAATCAGGTCTGAAATTACTGATTACAAAACCAAAATTATTTAGATTTCAAATTTGATTTTTTAGTTAGGTTATAGAGGATTAACGATGCTGGGCAGGAAAGTACAATTATATTATGAAGGTATAGAAAAACGCCATTTGGCAAAAGAGTGGTGTAAAAACATGCCATGTGGCAGTATTAGGAGTGTTTTATTAAGGATAAAAATTGGTTTTTAGACCCAAAATGTAATTACTATTATTATTATCTTTTAAACTATGTGAATTATGTTTTGAAAATATAATTTTCAAACTAAATCCCAACGTCATTTCAACCAATTACGTCTAGCGTGTTAGCTAAAAAAAGTTGTTTTAGCTTATAAACTATATTATCAATAAGTTATTAAAAATAATTTATAAAAAATTAGTTTATAAACTAGTTTATAAAGTATCATAAGCATTTTTTTGGTCCCACCAAACACCCTAATAAACTCAAAAAATAAAATAGTTTACTTGTGTCAAACAAAATTCGGCTAGAATCATAAAATATTGGAATATTATTTGCTGTAAAAGTAATTATTCTTTAACTCATTAGTCATTATACAATTTTAGCACTAAAAATTATTCTTGGTGTATCCTTTTTTCGAACTTTTAAAATTTAATATACAATATTCCAATAATTTAAATAGTATGTTATTAGACAATTATAATCAAAATAAATTATTTATATA